GGAGTGGCCGGGCCGAGACGTAAGCCTTTACAAGAGGATTCAGGTAGATGGGAGCCATACCATCTCAGACTTTGTATGCTAGTGTTAGCGATTTGAATTTGATGTGTGCCGCTAGTGGTAGCCAGTGGAGATCAATGAACAGAGGAGTGACGTGTGCTCTTTTTGGCTGATTGAAGACCTAGATGCACTGCTGCTTTCTGGACCATTTAAAGAGGTCTCACAGTACAGCCTGGAAGACCAGTTAGAAGGGCATTGCAGTAATCGAGGCGGGAGATGACAGTAGATTGCACCAAGAGCTGGGTGCAATGTTGTGTTAGGTATGGTCCAATCTTTCGTATGTTATACAGTGCAAAGTGGCATGAACAAGCAACAGAGGCAACATGATCTTTAAAGGTCAGGTGTTCATCAATCACAACACCCAGATTTCGAACTGCCTTTGAAGGAGCCAGAGATAGGAAGTCATTTTGGATTGAGATATTGTGCTGTATGGATGGTTTTGCTGGGATGACAAGTAGTTCAGTTTTAGAGAGGTTGAATTGGAAATGGTGGGATTTCATCCATTTTGATATGTCAGAGAGACAGTTTGATATTCGTGCAGAGACAGTGTGGTCGTCCTGTGGAAATGACAGAGCAGGGTGTCATCTGCATATCAGTGATAGGAGAAGTCATGTGATCGAATGATCTCACCCAGTGAGGTGGTGTATATGGCAAAGAGAAGATATCCTTGTACAGAGCCCTGGGGGACTCCTGTGGCAAGATGGTGCACGGTAGAGGATTGTCCAAGCCAAGATACACTGAATGATTGTCCTGTGAGGTACGATTCAAACCAGGTGTGTGCTTTCTCTGTGATGCCCATGGTAGAGAGTGTGGACAAAAGGAAGCCATGGTTGACGGTGTCAAATGCAGCCGATAAGTCGAGCAGGATAAGCACCGAGGATTTGGCAGTCGCTCTAGCTTCTTTTAAGGATTCCGTGACTGCTAAGAGAGCAGTTTCAGTAGAGTGGCCCTTTTTGAACCCAGATTGGTAAGGGTCAAGCAGACAGTTTTGTGAGAGGTATTCTGTGATCTGCTTGAAAGCCACCCTTTCAATAATTTTGGACAGAAAAGGGAGGAGAGAGATAGCTCGGTAGTTTTCCACATGATTTGGAGGAAGAGATCTTTTTTAGCATTGGTTTAACCTGAGCATGCTTGAGAGAGGTGGCAAATGTACCAGATGTCAGTGAAGCGTTGATCACATGTGTGACTGCTGCGGCTACTGTAGGAGCAATAGCTTGGAGTAGCTTAGTCGGAATGGGGTCAAATGGGCATGTAGTAGGGTGTAGTAGGGCGGCTGCACGTGAGAGGCGTGGACACCCAGTTCTCAGTGAGAGAGGGAAAAGAGGAAAATGAAGCAGTAGGACTTGAGATGGTTGGGCTAGAAGGAGTTTGTTGTAGTGAATGTTCAGGAGTGGCCAGTTGAGTAAACAGTTTGCTTATAGCTGCCACTTCGTCAGTGAAGAATGAAGCAAAGGTGTCATCTGATAGATTTTTGGTAGGAGGTGGAGACAGAGGGTTGAGCAGAGATTTGAATGTTGAAAATAGTTTCTGAGAGTCAGTAGAGCTGAGAATTTTGTCAGTGTAGGTGGTGTATATGGCAAATCCGGGTTTAAATCCGGGACTCTCCACCATTTGGCCTTAGAACTGAAGAAGCCTCTCGGATGAGAGGTGAAACGTCTTCAAGCAACTCAAAGAAGTCCAGACGCTTTTCTTTCATAGCTCATGAGACTACAATGACCTGGATGACTGAGAAACTTCACAGACACTAAGTGTAGAAAGCTTTCTTTGCATCAGTGATGCTGGCAGAGAATGAGGACAGTAATTCACGAAATTTCAATTGATCACCAGGATCTTTTGTTTTGCGCCATTTCCATTCCGCAGCTCTAAGATTGGTGCATAGAGACCAGAGGGTATCATTTAGCCAAGGGTGCAACTGAGAGGATCTAGCTGATATAGTTGCTAAACTATATCAGCTAGATATAAGACAAGAGCAGAGTGTGGAGCAGAGTGACTCGGTGGCATCATTCACTTCATAAGCAGAGAATGTGCTGGGAGATGGAAGAGTGGAGGCAACAAGAGAGGAGAAGTAGTTGGGTACCAGATTGCGGAGGTTGCGGCGGAATGAGACCATTGGAGAGGAAGCAGTGGACCTCCCTTGTAGAGTCGTGCTGAAATGGATGAAGTAATGATCTGAAAGATGCAGTGGTGTGACAGAGATTGTGTCTATGGCACAGTTTCTGGTGAAAATGAGGCCAAGTGCTTTTCCAGCTTTGTGAGTTGGAGGACTTTGTACTAGTTTTAAATCAAATGATGACATTAGTGACAGGAAGCCTGATGAGCTGGGATTGTCCAGGTGAATATTCATGTCTCCAAGGACCATTGTGGGACAGTCGTGCTCAGGAATGGAGGAGAGCAGGGTGTCGAGTTCATCAAGAAAGTCTCCGAGTTGATCTGGTTGGCGATATATGACAACCAAAAAGAATTTTTTCGGTACAGTTACCTGGATGACATGGTATTCAAAGGAGTTGTATTTAGTGATGGGTAGCAACTGACTGTATATCCATTTGTTGGAAATTAACATGCCCGTTCCACCACCTTGGCCGGATGCACAAGAAGTGTGGGAGAAAGTGTGATTAACTGAGAGAGCAGATGGGGTAGCATTGTCACATGGTTTGATCCAGGTCTCAGTGAGAGCCAGTGCATCAAGTGACAGGTGGTTTGCATATGCGATAATGAAGTCAGCTTTGTTTACAGCTGATTGGCAGTTCCACAGTCCCATAGACAGGTGGGTGTCTTTGGGGGGAGTTGGTTTTAGTGAGCGGAGGTTTTGAAGGTTGCGAAAGTGGTTTGCTGTGTGTGACCTTCCTCTGAAGCCGGTGATCACAGGTATAGGATAATGGCACATTTTGCAAGGTGTCGATGGAGCAGCGTCTGGTTCAAGCTAGTTTGCTCTGTGGACACGCGCAGGTAGACACGTATGTCTTTATCCTGGAGTGTCTTCACACCGGAGGGGCTGAGACACAAGGGCTGATGCTTCCGCTGACGCTTCAGTTATGCCACTAAACTTATGCTGTGCTACTAGTTGGAAACAGGTGTTCGTGCAGCAGTTGATTGTAATGGTTGAGACCTAGATCACCTGATGAGTGTTTTCAGGGAGGGGAGAAACAACTCGTTCACAGCCCCTGACTGCACTTACAGTATTGTTTTCAGTTGGCCAAAACCGGAGCTACTAGACAACAGGATTACTCACAGATGAGTTTCATTCTCTTTTCCCAATGGAAGATAGTGCAAAGCAAAAGTTTAAGAAGACAAAAACAAGCACTAACAGACACTCAAGGCCCTTCGGTGCAGATTCAAGTGGATAGGATGTCCCTATTTGGGCACTGTAAAGGGGAATTCCTTCACCTAAATTCATACAGAATCAGATCAGATTGTTGTCCCAACTGGAATTTGTCCAATTACTTTATTCAAAGATTCCATGTCATGCTTTTTAAAACCTTTGAGCGCAAAGGTAGGCACAATATATGATAAAATGTTACCGTTGGCACTATTGGCATGCCATTTATTTTAAATGTGAGTTATTTTTGTCCGCCTGAATTTGTACCTGGAACTGAAATGGTTTGTTTCAATGTAGCTCCGCCCACTCCAACAACACACACCTAGCGTCTTAGGTTAACCTGCTGTTGTATTGGCCTTGGCAGTCCAGTTGTTTAAGCGCCCATTTGTCAGAATGTCCAGGTTTTAGAACCAAAACCAGAACAGCTTTAGGGGGACGAGAAAGGTCTGGTGATGTAAGTGGGCTACTCTTCCATTTGCATTCCATTATTTTTTTCTTTTGTTTTTGAACAATAATTCAGCACTTTTTTAGATATAGTAATGAGATAATGATTGTTTGAAAACAGGGAGGACTCTTCAGATGTATATTGAGAGTGTATGTGTAAACTTTAAAGAAATGTAAGCTTACATTTATTTGTGATGCACCACTGCAGGATTATCATTTTAATTTTGTTGTATGTTGCCCATTGATTCTGGTATCTTGTACTTTATTTGTTGTATGGTTGGTGGACCCACTCAAAAATAAGATGTTCCATTTCAAGCAGTTTTTGTCCTCCTAAAACATAAATTCTTAAATTAAATTAAACGTAAAATTACTATGTCAGGCAATATGAATGGAATAACTCCTACATATTGCCTCAAAATCATTGTTATAAGAAAAAAATAAGTAATTTATGAAGGAAAAAATATTTACACACTAGAGTTTTATTCATGCCAGGGCTGTAAATCTTGTCCTTCAGAAAGGTAACTTGTTTGCCAATGGTTGTTTCTGACACAAACCTTGTTTCTACATTCATACTCATGTACTTTACTATAACTCCAGATTTAGCCCTGTAGTTATGCTGCTATAAGCTTAGACTGCTGGGGGCCATCGGCTGGAACACTGCTGCTAACCACTTAAGCATTCTCCCTCTCCTGATAATAACGTTTTACTTTCATTGGCATTAAATGTGCTACTACTAGTTTACAGGTTTAATTATAGATTCAGTGAGATAAATACAATAAAGTTTATCTTTTACTAAGTTGAATGTTTACTAAGAACTCACAATGTAGCCGTAGAAACACTACTTGGTATATGTGTTGGGTGTGGGGTGGGTGGTGGTGGTGTGTGTGTGTGTGTGTGTGTGTGTGTGTGTGTGTGTGTGTGTGTGTGTCTGCTCTGTCTTCTTGATCCCCATTGAGTCGTGGTGGATGGCTGCTTATACTGAGCCAGGATCCTATGGAGCTTTCTTCCTGTTAAAAAGGAGTTTTCCTCTCCACTGTCGCTGCACGCTTGCTTAGTATGAGGATTGTTGTACAGACTCTGACACAAGTCAGTGACTCGATGCAATCTGCTGGGTTCCTTATATAGGAAACTTTTTACTGACTGACTTAATGAACTGACCTGTATTGGGATGTTTACTATGTGCAGTGCCTTGAGACAACTCTTGTCGTGATTTGGCTCTATATAAATAAACTTGAATTTGTATGAATGTAAGTATGTGATTTATGATTTAATGATGCTGATGCTGATTGCTTATCTTTCACCTCCTCTTCACACTGTCTTCTCATCTGTCTCTCCTCCTGTTCTTCTGCCAGGGGAGCATCTGCGCATCTGTTCTCAGGGGTATACCTGCTGCACCAGCATCATAGAGGACAACCTGGCCACTCTGAGTGTCAAGGAGGTGGACGGAATTCTCAGAGAATCTCGACGATCTTTACTGACCTCGCTTAATGGACAGCAAAAGGCCTTTGATGGTGAGTTTTAGCTTTTATTGCATCCTTTTTGTGTGGGCTTTCAGAGTTAGAGCAATAATGCTGAAACACAGATACAGGAAACAGAATTTCAAAGGTCTGGTTTAGATTAGCATTACTCTTGCAAGGTTAATTACTCAGCGTTTACATGTTTCATTCTGCAATGTGTTTCTAATAGATTGTTATTGCGGTGTTCTCTGTAAATAAATATTCAATGCAAAAGTGCTGCACATTAAAGATTCCTAAAATTACATTTGTAGTCTTTGCTAGGGTTGTACTCCAAGACAACTGATGCAATAAAAAGTAAACTTTTGTGTTTTCTCCTCTTGTTCCTTTGGCCAGTTCATGACAATAAGTCTGTCAGCTGGAGCTCTGAGCTTGATTATTCAGCCTGCCCTTTTCAGATCACACTGATTGGTAGCTGAATGAGATTTGTTTTCTTTTCTCACTTGTTTCCTTCTTTCTGCATACCTCTTATTTTACCTCTGCAGCTGTGCTAGAGTTAACCCACAACTACAAAAACATAAAAATAAATGGTTATGGTGTACATTTTTATCAGCTCTTGAAGCTCTCTGTCAGAAAAAAAATGCTTCATTAGACACAACAGAGCAAGTAAACAAGACAGTCAACCAATAAATAAATAAATAAAATTCAACCTGCACTCAGTTGTAATCCTTCCAGTGTTTTACATCAAATCATTCACAGATAAAAGCACAGGGTTACAGTCTGAATGTGATTAATTGTGTTGTCTCACAAGTCATTTGGAGCTTGTTTATCTTCAGAAAGTCTTGCCAGACATGTTGCTACAACTTTCTAATAAGTGCTTCTGCTTTGAACCAGAAAATTAATTAAAGTGTTCTTTCATGTTGATCATAAATCCTGCTGCAACCTCTTCGTCCCTCATCTCTCCCAAGCGCTCTGCTGCTTGCTAGGAGTGAGTGCTTAAAGGTGGCGGGTGAATGTGGGGGATGGTGTTTGATTTGGGTTTTTTTTTTTTTGCTACTTTTCATAGGTCATGCACTCAAAGGTAGGGATAATTATTTTAGTCATTTTATTAAATGAAAGTGAAAAACAAATGTACAACATAATGCAGCAAGTACTTCTGGTGGAGGGTGGCTGTGAGCAGACATGTAGTAAACACTGGTCAAAATGGGTTTCACTGTGTGTTCTGTTACGGTAAGGAAAATATTACTGCATTCAGAGGTTAGACTGGATACCAGTGCGGTGGATAATAGGATATTTTTAGAGTTTTGCTTAAGTTTAGGAGATTTAAGACTCAGATGTTTTGCATCAGTGCAGAAACAGGTTAGATATTTTTAATGGCGACCATTTTTATCTGGTAATCTGGAAGCAATAATGGCCGTTTCTCAACAGGCCTACTTGTCTGAACCTGTGTAGTCATGACCTTGTGAGATGTCATCAATGCTGGCCCAAGTACTATTCCAATTTTGAGTATGTGTCATAGCAAGTTCACTTAAATTTCCCGGATGTCATCTTGCTCCACCCATTGTATCGAGGAGGGATTTCAGCATTTCTCTGCGCATAGACATGGATACGTTAACACCCCATTGGGCACTGGAGAGTGTAACAGCATTGCTGCCATTTTGAATGGGTTCTGTGGACTGTTGTGATCTGTTTATTCCATTTGTGTTCTTAATTGAATGACCTGGAATCGGGTTGTGGGCAGAGCTACACACCTGTGAGAAATAAAAGGACTGCTCATTCACAAAATGGGAATGCAGGCCAAATGCAAATAGCGTCTGTGTGTCTATTTGTCCTCCGATGCCGGTTTCCAACTCATATTCAGCATGGCTGCGTCAACAGGTTCCTTACTTTCCAAACCCAACTGACGTGAGTGCAGAGTGAGCAATTTTCCCAGTTTTTTTTGTACAAACTACGTTTGCAACAACCGGCACACTAATGAAAACAGGTCCCGTGGGATTATTATTAACTTTTCTAGCCTACTTGTTGGGATTGTATATTTTAATTAGTTTTGTTTAATTATATTTATATTTTTGTTTTCATACCATATGTCTGATTTTTGTATTAAAAAATAAGTCTAATTAAAGCTGCAAGCAGCGTCGTTCGGCCCTCGCAGCTCCGGGCTGGCCGGCAGCCCGAGGCACCAGAGTACGTCCGCGGAACAGAAACGTCGACCACCCCGACACCAGAAACCGCTAACGGTCACCTTGTCCGCACCTCACCCTGACTCAGCATCCCCATCTGAGCCCACCATTATATTACACGTCTCACCACTAGGGCATACTCTATCTTTACCACACTGCTGGTGTGATGACACAGACCAACTTTAATGCTTTTCTGACCACCTTTTTTGAAGTTATTATAGGTTAAATTTATCTAGGGGCGTTGTAACCAACCACAGAAAAATCCCATTGAGGTCAGCTTTGGTTGACAAAGATGGTTTTCTGTTATTTTGGTTTCAATCAGACGTTCTTTCTAGAGCCAGTGAGCTGAAAGGGGCGTAGCTGCAGGGATTTGAACCAACAACCGCATCAATGTGTTTGGTGCAATCACGTGAGGTCACAAGCCAAGTATAATGCCATTCTGACCTTGTCTTTAAAAGTTAATAAAGTTTGAACCCATCTAAGGGGCGCTGTGACCATTTACAACTAAATACCATTGAGGTCATCTTTGGTCATCAAAGATGGGTTTCTGTTAATTTGGCATCAATCAAATGTTGCATGGGTCATCTAGAGACAAGAAGCTGTAAGTGGGCGGAGTTAAAGTGATTTGAAAAAGTGAGCACATACATGTGTTGATTGCAGTTGTGTGATGACTCCCACCAAGTTTGATACAGTTTGGAGCTTTTTTGCAGAAGTTACAAAGGTCTTATTGTATCTAGGGGGCGCTGTCCCAAATTTAGGAAATATTCCATGAAGACGTTTGTAGGCTGATAACAGTCACTTGTGTGCAGTTTGGTGTGAATTGCATCATGCATGTGTTATTCAGGGCCTAATATGTGTCAGGGGGTGGAGCTAAAGCGATATCAACCAGTTACCACAGGATTGTGTTGGGTGCCTTTGTGTGACATAGCAAGTTTGGTGCAGTTACGACCTTGTCTGTAGGAGTTATTACAATTTTAAAGGTATGTAGGGGGCGCTGTGGTGATTTTATATAACGTTCACCAACTGTTTGTGCCTCTTTGGCTAAAGGGCATGATTGTTCATTGCCATGTTCAGTCTCGGGCAGATCGGAGGCTGTTTGAGGAAGTTACAGTCAAACGTAAGGTCATGGCGTCACGCCAGAATTCGCCATGGCATCGAAGCCCCTCCCTATCTGGAAATCTATCAGATCTGAATGGTCATTACAGCATCAGGAAGACAGTGCATGACCTTAGTGTCATGTTGACTGAATTAGAGGGGACAAATATGGGCATTTCACCATAAAACAATCGACTTCTTGTCGTCAGGGGACAGGGCTTAGGTGATGTCAGCTGTCCACATTGTCATTGTCTTGAGATGTGGTCAGTGATCACACAGACTAAGTTTGATATAGATCTGATCATGCACATGGGAGTTATTAAGTCAAGTAATGTAATGGTGAAAGGTCAAAGTTTGAGGCTTAGCCACGCCCACACCTTTCAACTTTTGAAAAATCCGACAGTTGAATTTTTTCCCCTATGCCTTGAGAGTATATAGCAGATGTTTGAAAGCAATTGGTGAAAAGGACGACGGGGCATCATTCTCCAAACAGCGTGTGCGAAGACCACTAAATCGAGTACTTGGACCAAAATGGCCGACCTCCTGTGCGACTTTGGGCTTGGCTCCAAGAGACTTTTTTGTAGGTCCTAAGACACCACATTAGTGTACCGTTTTTCATAATCCTCAGTCAAAGCATGGCTTGGGGCTGACAGTTTCAATGGCTCTAGGGGGCACTATTTCATAAAATAGGCCACGCCCACAAACTTCAGCTGTCTACTTCTATTGGGGGTCAGACTAGAATCACTCACCAGAAGTTTCGTAGCGATATCATGATAACTGAAGAAATAAGAGACAAAAGTATTTCCAAGGCATGATGGAGATTTTTGCCGTTCTTCCAAAGCCCCACCTTTTTTCGAAACCTGCCAGTACTGGATACCAAGTGACCTCAACTTGTCGACTGCTATTTGTCAGATATTCCTGGTGATTGGGTAAAAGGAGTCCAATAGGGAGCTGTGAAAAAAAGAGTGGCGTGGTGACAGGTCAAAGTTTGAGGCTTAGCCCCGCCCACACCTTTCAACTTTTGAAAAATCCAACAGTTGAAAATGTTCCCATATGTCTTAAGAGTATATAGCAGAAGTTTGAAGGCGATTGGTGAAAAGGGCAACGGAGCATCACTCTCCAAACAACGTGTGTGAAAACCACAAAATTGCGTACTTGGACCAAAATGGCCGGCTTCCTGTGCGACTTTGTGCTTGGCTCCAAGAGACTTTTTTGTAGGTCCTGAGACACCAAATTAGTGTACCAAATTTCGTAATCCTCAGTCAAAGCATGGCTTGGGGCTGACAGTTTTAATGGTCCTAGGGGGCGCTATTTAAGAAAATAGGCCACGCCCACCGGGTGTTCACATCAGATTTTTTGGGGGGCCAGACTAGGATCAAGAAGTTTCGTGATGATATCTTTAGAAATGACGAAATGGGAGGCAAACGTAAGGCCACGGCAGTACCCCTGACTTCGCCACTCCGCCACAGCCCCGCCTTCTGCAGAAAACTCCCATAAAGTGAAGCCAAGCAACCCCCACTTAACTTGAGTTACCAGCTACAAATTTGTGGTGATTAAGTAAAATGGGGCGATTTGGGACCTATCACAGTAAAACTTGACCTTTTTGGTCCTGAGGGGGCGGGGCTTGTGTGATGTCATCATCTGACCATTCAATTTACTTTGTGGGTGGATGACAAATGACCACAGAGATTTTTTTTAACTCTGTTCCATTCAGTTATGAAGTTGTAGCAATTTAAAAAAAATGGCGAGTAGTCAAACTTTGAGGCCTGGCCCCGCCCCTTC